ACACACACACGCACGCACGCACGCACGCACGCACACACACACGCGCGCGCGCGCGCGCGCGCTGGACTGATTTAACTTTTTACCCTTATCACTGGCCTATCTCTTTTCCTCAACAATAGATCAGAAACTGCTCCCAAAAGAACAGGAAATAACGAACAAACAAATAACTAAATCAAGAACCAGGATGCTTCTAAATTCTAAAGAAACATTCACCCACCACCCCTTCACATCGCCACCTAAAGCCATAAAAGTAAAAGATTCAAACAAAATAAGCAAAACAATATCCGTTACGTTATAAAAACAGGTGCACATATTGGTCTGCTTAGTTCCACATGGCTCATCCTTCACTTCCTCATAAATCATTGTCTCTCTCTCTCTCTCTCTCTCTCTCTCTCTCTCTCTCTCTCTCTCTCTACCGTGCCCCTTGAATCGAGTAATTCAACTTACATGTATATCAATCAGTGTGTCTCTTTCACCTGTCTATTTATCTATCTATCTCTATATCTATCTATCTATCTATTTGTCTATCTATCTATCTATCTATCTATCTATCTATCTATCTATCTATCTATCTATCTATCTATCTATCTGTCCATCCATCCACCCATACACCCTTCCATCTCTCTCCTCTCTTTTCTCAAACTTCTATCTGTGTGCATTTCAGTCTGTCTGTCTCTGTGCCAGTCTGTCTCCGTGCCTGTCTGCCTCTTAATCAGTCTATCTATACGTCAGTCTGTCTTAGTTAGTCCGCTGAGCGTCTGTCTATCTGTCGGCACATTTTCCACTCAACCGCTCAGCGTTTTGTACCTCTTCCCATCATTAGTCTCGTTCAAAAGGTCAACACGTGCCCGACACATAGATTCTAACCTTCTTTCACAAACAGCTACACATGTGTCACACAGAAAACCCAACACACCGTCTGTCCAAAATAGACAGATTCATTCTCATCAGATCGGCAGTCTATCCATATATTGGCCTTTCTTTCTCTTTATGATTGTGTTATCTATTCATCTATTTGTTCATCTATTCATTATTGTGTCTTTCTGTCTTCTTATCTACGGATATCAGTTCTACAATTAGATCTATGTTTCTAAAGGAAGTAATTTTTTTTCCTGTTTCTCCTAACTCTTCCCCCCCCCCCCCC